CAAGCTCCTTAGACTACGATGACCTGGATGACTGAGAACCTTCACTCTTGTAGTAAATGAAATAATTGAGTCTTTAATAAGTAAATTTGCTCATCTAAAGATTATATTAGGAGACTGGAATCATTCACTTGATAACATGATAGATAGACGGCCAAGTAAAAGTCAGGATAGTAGTAATTATATGTTAAATTTTATAAATGAAAGAGACCTAACTGATATCTGGAGATTCAAAAATCCAACGATTAAGAAATTTTCATGCAAAAATAGATCAGCTTCATTACAGTCTCGTGTTGATTGTTGGTTAGTTTCTGATCCTTTATCCGAATATGTTTCTACATCAAAAATGTCATAAAACTATTTTTTTGGAGATATGTTTGTATGCCAGTAAACCATCTAAGAGTGAATTCATATTGGAAATTAAATAATTCTCTCCTACCGAAGGACTCTTTGGTAAAAGAAATTAAAACAATGAGTATTGGGACAAGGCATGTGTTGAAAATGCTTTTTGTAAAAATTGGGAGGTCATGAAATTTGAATTCAGCTGAAATAGTTAAAAATATCACTTTGTCAAGATTACCTGATAATTTATCTGAAGATAACAGGAACAGACATCAAATTCTACAATTAAAATGAGATAATATAAATGTTTACAAGGCAAAAGGTGCCTTTGTGCGGGCGAGAAGGAAGCGGCTTGAAGAGGCAGAACAAAACTCTCGGCAGCTCGACTAAACTGTGTTCAGATGGGTCACAAGACCCTCAAGGGATTTCCAAGACTTGTGAACTTCTTATAAAACTTTATATAAATCTAATTGTCTACAGAAGCCATGGAAAACCTCCATCATTCCTGAGGTTAAAACAATTAGTGACAATAATAAAACCATGTGTGATGCTCCCATCACAACTCTAGACATTGAAGGTGCTATTAATAAAATGAAACTTAATAAGAGGGACGGGTGGACTTCTGAATGTTACAAATAATTTTCTCACGCTTTTACATAAAGTATATACTGAAAACATTGATAATGAAAAGCTCCCTCCTCAGGGACTAATTACTTTGATTCCTAAACCTCAAAAAGACGCCCTTTTGATAGAAGGTTATTAGTTACTATTTCACTGCTGAATAACGATTATAAAATAATGTGTTTGGCTACAAAATTAAAATGTGCACTTAATGATACCATTGATGAAGCACCGGCTGGTTTAATGACTGGCAGAAACATAACTAACAGCATGAGCCTGCACAGCAAAATCTCCAGTGTTAAATTAACACTTCTGACAGTGTTATATGTTTAAAAGTAACCTGGTCAGTTTTGAAGATTAACAATGGCTAACACTGAGCAGTGCTGATTTTCTAACACTGGAATATTTCTAACATTTTGAGTTATTTTCCAGTGTTAGAAAATCAGCACTGCTCAGTGTTAGTCTTTGTTAATCTTCAAAACTGACCAGGTTACTTTTAAACATATAACACTGTCAGAAGTGTTAATTTAACGCTGGAGATTTTGCTGTGTGGTAATTGATATTTTGGATCGTTCAGATCACAGATAATAGTTTTTTTTTTGGATTTTTATAAAGCTTTCGACTCCATGTTCAGAGCACTTGATATTTTTGGTTTTTGGAAATATGTTTAAAAAATCCATTCAAACTTTGTAAGCAGATGCAAACAGCTCAAACTATGGTACAAGGAAAAGATCTGATATCAACCGTGGGATCCGTCGAGGTTGCCCGAGTGCTGCAGATCTTTTCCTTCTCCTATGCAGTTACTCTCTATTCATGTTAAAAACAGCAGTGTACTGGGTCTCTGTTGCTGGCAGAGCATTATCTATTACTCAGCTGAGAGATGACACAACACTTTGTTTAAAGGATAAATATCAAGTTGATGAAGCTCTCAAAGTCGTCAATAATTTCTCAGTAGCTTCTCTTAAGCTCAACATTCCAAAATGTGAACGTCTCCCTGTCACATTCTGCACAGATCCTATTATATCAGGTGCTCCTGTTAAAGATAAGGTTAAATATCTTGGTATTATCATTCAAAAAGACAGATTATCTGAAAATTTCGACCCTCTCATAACTGCAATACAACAAAGGTTTAATCTTTGGCTTCAAAGTGTCCCGATCCTGGGTCTTTTCAGTTTTACTTTATGTTTAAGCCCTTCAGGTTTTCTAAATTCATTTTTATCATGCCTAGGTTGTTATAGTTCTTTGTCATTAGATTTCCCCTTGTGTCTTCCACCCATGTTAAGTCTCCTTTGCCCTTCATGTGTTTCATGTCTGTGTCTTACGTTTCCTGTTTTATTTTGAAGAGGTCTGGTGTTTCTGTGTTCATCGTGTTTAGTTTTACTCTTCCTCTCATCAGTTAAGTTTGAGTTTTAGTGTCTGCACCCGGGTCCACTCACACTCCACGCAGTTTGCCTCGGCACACTGTGACACATCACCGGGAGATCCTTGGCAGCCAAAGCTGAAGCCTCTCCAGACTTACTTATGCAGCTGTGGCGCTTCATGTTTCCAGAGAATTATGCAGAAAAACTGATTAAATATTATTAAACTTCATTTGGAAAAAGAGAAACAAATGTAATGATAAACAGTTTGTGTTCTGGTGCCTAAATTCTTTAGATTTCACTTCCCTAAATGCGTCTTTTAAAATCAAATGGATCAGACTCTTTTTAAAAATCCCAGTTCAATTTGGAATTTTATTACCAAACACATCTTTAACTCACTTGGAGGACTGAATGCACTTTCTGCTAGGATGCAATTATGCAATTACAATATCTCTAATTTAAACTCTCACAGTCAGCTCTGCTCATCTTGGTTAATCATACACTCTCACAACTTTTCTCCCATAAATATCTTGTTTGGAACAATCAGGATATGACATTTAAGAACAAATCATTATATATTCAGAGATGGTTGATAGAAATATTTTAGTTGTGAGTCAGTTACTGAACGCTAATGGTCAATTATTTTCTTATAAGGACTTTTTGTCTGTTTATGATTTTCCTGTCACTCCAAGAGAACATGCCGTCGTTTTTGATGCGATACCAGGTGAGGTGGGAAGGTTGTTGGTGTCTGCTCCTAAAGGCAGAAACTGTATTAACTAACTCCTGCTAGCATGTACATCGGTAACATCTGTCCTTTATTGAGCGATAAAGCTACAAATCAATGTATTAGACAAATCATTCAAAGAGATGTTGTTTCCAGACCTGCAGCTGTATTTTACTGGGAAAATATTTACAATGACATAGACTGAAAAACACTTGGATTCTATCAAGGACATTTATCATCACTACTAAGGTCAGAGAAGTTATCCAGTATCCAGAGAGGTTGTCTGGTAAAGACAGATCTGGTTAAATGTAAGAAAAATATTGATACTCTTTGTACTGTTTGCAGAGGAAACAATATGTCAGGTATTTTGGGAATGCACGCATACACGTGTACTCTGGTTTGATCTAAATAATTTTATAAACACCAAAATTGATCCCTCGTGTAACCTGAAGTTTCAACATATTCTCTTTGGCCTCTCACATACCGACAAAATAAATCCAAAAAAGATATATTATCAATCTTCTGATTATTTCTGCCAAATTTGACATTCATTGTACTAAATTTTCACAGCAGCGTCCAAACATCTTTGTTTTTAAAGCCTTGTTCTCCAATTATCTAGAGAATCGAAATAACAGCACTGACTCCAAAGCATGTAAAACACGAGCTGTGTCGAGCGTGCAGTTTCACTTGATTTATATGTTGTTTTATATCTCGAGCACCTCTTCCTTCTTTTAATCGTGTGTTTTCTCCTAAAGTATACTTTTTTTGCTTTCCTGCTCGTATTTGTACACCTGACTTGGAGAAGATAGCTGTGACATTTATTATAGCCTTTCTACAACTGGCTTTTTATGTGTACTTGTTGTTCAATTGTTCAAAAAAAAAAAGAAGAGGATGCAGCACATGAATTTGGACATCCCTTTATTTTGAAAGAAATGTTTAGGCGTTACCATAGCAACCAAAGGGCATCAAGGGACAGAGAGGAGGACGTTACTCTCAATGTTGTTGGCACATTTCAGGAGGACGCTGCTAATAAAGTTACTCAATGACACAGTGAATTTACGTTCATTATTATATTTACCAAATGCCACAGTTTTGTATCATTTTGTATCATTTTACTTAGTTGTGCGTTGCGTGTAAATGTGTGAAGTCAGGATGAAAGTCTGAGTCATGACACGGACGCTACAGTTTGACTTTATTGTCCTCACAGTAACACAGCTGCACGTGTTGCAACACATGAACGTACGACACGTTTCCAGTAACATCATCACAGCAGCGCCCACATTCAAGGTAAAAGCAATAAAACTGAAGAAAGCGAGTAAGAACCAGCAGGTGGCGCCGACAGCGCCCGTTAGCTCTCGCTGCCACTGAGCTCAGAGTTAAACTTTACAAAGTGCCTTAAGGAGACATCAGTCAACCAAACTCAAAGTTACAACTTATAAATAATTCTTTAAAACTAACTTCGGTGCTCGGTTCTCTTCTACGCCATTTTCACCATCACGTTGTTGTACGGCGAATCCTGGCGCTGCTCTCTAAGCTCCTCCCTTAATCCAGGCTCCTCACTCTCCTCGTCCGCTTCTTCTTCTGCTTCTTCTTCTGCTTCTTCGTTGCTGCTTTGTGATTTGGGAAACGCCCTCTGGGCTTGTTTGGGCACGGCGTAGTCATCGACTCGGGGGTTATACGGGTACTCGTGACCTTTGGGGTCAGCAGCTGTACCCATAATCCTCCAGGCATCTCCTCTCATCTCCTCGGGGTCGTCGTACACCGAGGTGGAGAGGGTGGATTTCTGTCCTTTGGCGGCGGCGGCAGCGCAGCCTTCGGGCTCGTCATAGATGTGGTCCAACGTCTTGACGGTGTCACCGTCGCTGGTGAAGACGTTCCTGATCTTCATCTCGTCAATGCTGTCGTACAGCGGGTCGGCGCCCGCATGGCCGCTGTCTGTACGGTGAGAGTTCAGGATGTCGGTCATGACGTTCTTGGCGATGGTGTCGAAGGGCAGCGAGTAGTCTGCCTCACTGCTGGTGCAGGGCGCCGCCACGTTGGCGCTCCTCTTCTCCCTCTTGGTGCCTCTCTCGGTCGACATGGTAATCTGCGAGTACGTCTGCTCCGGCTTGGCGCTCGGCTTGGGGCTGAGGCGGGGGTTGGGGACCGAGCCGGGGGCGGGGCCGGTGTTCAGATTAGGGCTGGAGTCGGGGCTGGCGTTGGGCAGGGGGCAGCTGGAGATCATCTTGACCTGATTCTTTCGAGGGGCGGGGAGGCGAGAGTCCAGGTTCAAACTCTTCACTCCGGTCAGAGTTTTATCCACCGGAGGCTCGAGACGACACTGAGAACAGGACAGGAAGTGGGTCAGTATCACGCGTTCGCTTTCATCATCATTGAATCAAACAGTGACTGAACGGCGTCGCGACTGAATGATGTCATTGGTCATCAGCTAAGGGTGTCAAATAAGAAGCTCGAGCAAACAAGTTCTGACAGACAATCAGGACAGAGCACGATGTGAACATCGAAGCATCGCGTGAGCACTCCTCACAGCTGTGGCACTCACCTGGCAGAAACACCACTGTGCCTCCACCTTCCGGCTGATGAAGCAGCTGCTGGCAGCCGCCCTCGTTCTTCTTCTCTGAACATATTTCAAGCCGCTTGTAGAACAAAATGATGACACGTGTGACTGTGGAAACTATTTGAATCATATGAACTCTGATACTCTGAACCTCGACTTTACTGAGGAGTCAAGAGTCATCGTAAGCGAGTCAAAGGCAAAAGCTGAGGTTTGACGCCAAGGACAATAAAAATACATCAGTCCAACCAAATACTGAGAAAACACACAAGCGCCAAAGATTATTGGCTTGTGTGAAACACCGACGGCCCTCCGCCTGCTCGCCGGTTTGAAAAGAGGCCCCTCCTATTTCTTTGTGTCATATCCTGGGATGTTTATCAGTAGAGCGGTTTGTTGTATTATTTAATAAATGGAGTCAGTTCCTGTTCCCACTGCCTCGGAGCGACTGCGACCTCATCATTTCCTCAGGAACTAAAAACATATTCAGGACCAGCTCCGGTGTGAGCAGAGGTAAACTGGTTCCCATTGCCCCAGAGGCGGGGATGGGGTGGGGGGTGGAGCACAGCGCAGTACCGGTGCAATGCGCTCCCTCTTGTCTCTGATCTCCCACTGAGATCATCAGGTAACCCTACGCCGGAAGGCCGGACCTTCCTGTGGGAGGACGACATCGGGCTGCGGCTGATGAAACCCTTAAAAAGACCCAGGGCAAGGGAGCTTCTGGCTCTGCCTTCAAAGGAAGGACAAGGCGTGGGGGAAAGATGGAGTATGAGGGAGGCTGTGACGAGCGTTAGGGGGACGGTCGGTGAAGGGTCGCTCACGGCCCTGCAAGCTCCCGGCAGGTACGCTTACCTGTGCTCACACCAGCTTATCATGATATGTTTTAATAAGCTGGTGTAAGCACAGGTAAGCGTTGTTGTTGAGCCACATCCTAATTATTTCAGCTTTTCTCGTTTACAGCTGCTTAAATAAAGGATGTGAAGATGTTTGACTTTATCCGATCGTCAGCAAAGAAATCACAGTTTTGCTTCAGCTGCTTTGTTCTTTAACCATGAAACACTCGCCACTCGGATTCCTTACAAACGCTCTTCTTTCTGATTTTACTGGTTTGGCCTCTGTTCCATTTCTTACCATCTGGGGGCGCTGCTGCTGTTGCTGTGAGGCGTTGCAGCTCTCTTTGTCGATGTGATGAATCATCTGGAGGTTCGGCGGCTCGCTCACCATGCTGTACACGTCGTCCGCTGCCTGCAGAGAGAAGGCGGGACGTTTTAGGCGGGCTCAGTCGTACCCGAGCTCTGAACGTTCAGGAGCTGAGGTGTGGGCTCACCTGAGTGGCCGGGGGCATCTGGCTGCGGGACTGAGGCAGCGTCCTGCTCTGGGCCAGCGGCAGGCTGTGCGGTGGGGGGGGCAAGCTGAAGCTCTGGGTGGTGTCTGGACTCGCCTGGCCCCCCCCGGAGGTCTGTCTGTGGGGAGGGGCGACCTTCTGCAGGTTGATGGCGGCTTCCACGGCCTGGAAAAGGACGTTCCCCTGTTTGGTGTCGAACTCAAAGTTCCCTTCGCCGGAGTCGCAGCGCCGACCCGCCTCGAAGGAGAAAGTGGCCTAAAGAAAGCAGAAAGCCAGAGACGCTCACACAGGCTGACGAGCCAACACGGCGTCATGACATTTTACAGCAGGACGTGTCAGACGGTTTCCTGCAGCCGAGAAGCTGCGACCGTGTCAGCAAAGAACCGGAAACGGTCCGGTCACAACAAACCAGCACACGCAATCTCTTTACTTCAGCCCAGAAACATCCTGCTGTGAAGTCTGCTGAGAATCCTGGTTTTATTCTGAAAGTGTGTCACACCTTGTCGCGCCCAAAGCGCCGCAGGTATCTGTACGGCCAGGTGTACACGATGTCCCCTCCCTTGTCCAGCAGGTGCAGAGCATCCATGTCAGCTCGCAGGACGCCGTCCCCCTTCAGCCTGCAGCGATCAGACGCCTCCGTCCTCCGAATGGACACCCTGAAGTCACGCACTGACGCACACACACAGTTATTATTCAGTTAGTCTGCAGAAACACAGAGATCATTGAGTACTGATTACTTATAAATTAGAGTGAAATGAGGATGAGGTATCAGACAAAGAAGGATTATTTTGATCCTGGACTAATTGATGAGGGCAGCTCTGATCAGAGAGGATGTTGTTATCACTGAGGCCCAACTCTGCGAACGTGCTGCGGCTTCTCGTGGTTTCACGTCTCAATAGAAATGATGTTGTGAGTAAATAATAAATCGACTTTGGCTGCATGAAACACACGCGTGTTTTTAACGATGATGAGCGGATTGTTTGTGTTTCTTGTGGCTGAGCTGCAGATTATTGAAAATGAAGAAAGAATCTTTCACAACATGAACTAAAAAGCAGATGTGATCTTTTTATCTCAGCGACGACGCTGCCTCTGGCAGCAGAACTTTTACGTTCAACTGTTGACCTGCAGCTGATGCTCCCAGAGGAAACCACACACGCTCGCAGGTCTACTTCAGCAGCAGCGCTCGTTAAACTGCTCCAGAACAAACACCTGATCCAATCGAACCGGAAAACCCCGCCTGACCCGTAAAACAGGGCGAAGATCCAACGGTGGGTCCTCACATGGTCGAAAACCTACGCACGTCCCCACAAGGACACACGTACACACGTGTGGGTGTTCATGTGTGTTCGTGTGTGTGCTGCAGGTGCTGGAGGATGTGGGACAACAGTAGCAACTACAGGAGGTGTTCATTACGACCTCAGAGTTACACAAAATGCTCCAAATGTGGTAAAACTGCCGCAGCTGTGAAGTGCTATTTATACTCCCGACTTATAAAATGTTACTTCCTGTCTCTGTTGTTGATCCAAACCGCCGCACGTTTGAAGATCGTAACATAACTTTTATTTACTGTAGGCTGTACTGAAGCAAGGCGCCCTGATGCAGAGCGGTGTTACTGATGAGACTAACAGGAAGTGTCACACTCGGCTATGAAGCTAAAAATATGCTCGACAGGGGGAAATGACACTTGCAGCTGCCCTCGTGCTCTGCATTTCGAGCTCATAGATCCAGATGTGGCTCAGATACCTCGGCGTCTCTGACCGACTCACCCTGAGATCACCTCGTCTGCAGAGACACGAAACACATGAACACGAGCGACTCGCTCAGGACAGACGCTGGAAACCCAGAGACAGCTTAAGGACTGTGACTCAGTGAGACAGTGAGACATTGTAATGACCGTCGTTCACTCAGATTTGTCAGTTATTCCAACTGGAAACGTGAGGAAAAGCTGGAAGAATTCAACTGGACTGGACACGAAGCCGGGCCGGTGGAGGTGTGAGGAGGAGCTTGGGGTGGATGGATGAGCTACCAAATGTTGGAAATGTCCAAACTGTGCAAAAGTGCTTTAATTGCCTCATTGTCCTTATGTCAGCTGTGCCCACGCTGAACCCAAACACATTATTTAGACTTTTCTGCGGCGATAATCTGACCGTGGAGATTAAAAAGCTTCCAAGAGAAACAGCAGCGCGGTCAGGTCAGGGGCAGCTGCACTAACACGTGGAAGCCATTTATTCCTTCTGTAGCTGCACGTTTGGACACTAGGGGGCGTACAGACAGCAAGAGCTTCATTCAGGTCTCTTTAGCGGGCATGCTAGCAGTGAGAGACGTTAGCTGGGATGAGGAAAAGAGTTTTGGTAGTTTCGAATCTCAGAAAGCGCTTGGGTCACATGGTCGGGTCACATGGCCGCACACACACGCCACAACAGTCACACCAGCATGCACAGCGCAGATAAAACCAGCTGACAGACGCTGGTCAGAGCAGCTTCCAGCTCAGCCCTCCATCACGGCTCGAACGTTAAGAACGTCTCTTTGTGCCTCGGAGGACGACGGGACAGTAAGGAGCCCTTTCAGCGCGTGGAGGTTTTACCGCGTGTAAACGTCGGCACAGTTCAGGCCGCTGGTTTACCTCAGCACTTCATTCACCACCAGCTAAAAAGAAACCGTTAACCTCATCGACAGCCCAGGTGGAAACCAGCTGAGAAAAAATAGAAACAGCAGGTGTAAAACCAGTGATGGCGCTGTCCTCTGATTGCATTTCTATTTCTGCTCATGGGCGGAGCAACAAGCCACCGCTGAAGCGGCCGAGGTCAGGCCTCGTGTTAACGATGTCTTTGTGAGAAACGTGACCTTATGAACCATCAGCACAGAAACATCAGGCCTTCAGCGTCGGTCTGAGAGACAAACATGATTCTCACAGAGACGAAACACTTCCTCACACGTCTTCATGACTGTGCTTCATCTAAAGTGAAGTGCACAGCGTCTTCACTCCAGCCAAAGTAATAAAGTACCGGCTCCGGAAAGTACTCAGAGTAAAGTAGCTTCTACCAGCTGAAGCCTGTGATATATGAATGTGATAATCAATAATATTGGGAGATGGGAACACAAACTTCAGTCTAAATATTAATTCTGATAAAAAATTTCTCAGGTTGAATCATTTCTGTGGAAGCTGAGCAGAAAAAGCAGGACAATAAAAATGTGAGGGGGCCTTTGAGCCTGAACAGGTCAGCGTGTGGGGAGAACAATCAGAGCTCCAGGAGACCTTCTTAGGATCAGCTGACCTGCTGCTCTCTCTGGACGTACACACCTGGATCCATCCAGATGTGAGCAGATGTTTCCTGAGCTGTCCTAGCTGAGTCCATCCTCCACACTGACACTGCTGATGCTGTCTTTATATCAGACACTAGGAAGGTGGAGTTCACTCAGTGAATCTCTGAGCTAACTGTGACCATGAACCCACAGCCACTGTGCACCAGTCACACACTGGTCTTTACTGTGAGTCACCTGTTTATCCTGGACTAACCTGTGAACCGAGACTCTACGACCTCGGTTCACAGGTTAAAGGTTAAAGTTCATGTAGGTACAGACTGAGCACGTGCGATGGTTTGGACAGGCTGCGTGAGAAAGCCTTCTGAAACAGAGTCCTGTGGACAGACAAAGCGTGACTGTCCAGCATGGACAGCAGCTGGGACCAGCTCGTCCACAGCTGCGTGGTTTAGGACAGAGTAACGGAGCTCCGCCCTCTCAGCTCCCGTACACACTGCTTATGGAGAAACACTATTTATATTTACCGACGTCCTCGCCTCTGACGAAGCAACGGTCATAATAACAGGTCATGAACTGAACCCTTTCACCAGACGCCGGCTAACTCGCAGTCGTGCAGCACAATCAGACAAAGTAAAGACTCTGAGGTTGAGTCGTTACGATGCAGCACGAACATATTTGTGTTCAGCTGCAGGTTTCTCTGACCTGCGGGCCACAGACTGTGTCTGACATCAGCTTCCTGTTTGTGGACGGAAACACGTCAACATGTCCCGAAAAGAAAAAGGGAAGACGGGGCTGATTGCAAAGACAAATAGAAACCCACAAGCAAAGTTAAAAACACTAAATAAAGAGCTGTTTCAGGGTCCTGAGCTGAGACGTGCGAGGCTCGCCGCTGCCCAAACGGCAGCTACTTCCTGTTTGGAAAGAACAGAAACAGGAAGTTTGCCCTGTGAAGATAAAAGCTGAGGTCGTCCTGCAGCCGCTGGTCACTGCAGCGATGCAACACCCTGCGACACGCCTCACCGCAGCAGGAACCCGCGCACACAAGTTTCCACTACACACGGCGTGTTAACAATGAGCTGCAGAGCGACAGTGGAAACTGTCAGGGCGCCGCGCAAACCGTTGATCACGCGACTTCCTGCAGGCCAAACCCGAGAAGACAAACAAACACTTTTAAAATTAAACCCTGAAGACTGAACTCAGGTCTGTCTCTGTGCGTCTGCTGCCCCACAAACACCACCACCAAATATCCTGGCTCACACTTTTCTTACCAGGCTGGGTTCTGAAAAACCTTCAGCTGACTGCTCAAACTGGCGACCTGATATGAAGCTGTGCTTTGAAGCAGCTCCGGTCCTGAAACATCAGGTCAGCTGATCTGTCACGTCAGGACAAAGCATCGCCTAAAGCAACATCTGGATTTTTACTTAATATTAAGGTCTAAAGACCTGAGTCTGAACCACCAAAAGACAGAAACTCAGTTTTACTGCTCTCAGGGAGCCCCGGGACTCTGGAGGGGAACCGCTGGAAGATCCTAATGCAAACACACAGGATGGCTACAGAGTGGGAGTGGGTAAGGACCCCCGAGAAGCTTGTGAGGGTGGAAACCATCCCCTGTGACAGAGCACACTCAAACTACTGCTCAAGTGTTTCTAATCAGGAACTGATGCTTCCTCTGATGCAGTTTCATAATCTGTCACCAAAACGATATCGAGTCCTGAAACAAGCACCGAGGTCCTGTCAGGATCACGGCTGCCGAACAGAACATGGATTTTACTGCTCAGTGTTTCAGTGAAGGTCCCGTTTGACCACGAAGAGCTTCACTCTCTCTAAAAACTCAGACGCAGAGCCGGCGTTCGTGTCCACGTCAGACACGAGGTTTCCCATTATTCAGAGAGAACAAGGCTGTGGGAAGGACGCAGCTCGGCTGTGTGTGTGTCTGTGTGTGTGTGTGTGTGTGTGTGTGTGTGTGTG